TGAGTATTTTGGGGACATGAGATTTTACAATGCGTTGCAATACACATTTTTGTCTAGACATCCTACCAGCTTCTAACTCAGGAAACCCTGAAGTTCAGTTTACTAGTTCAGATCTTGGCCATTCCTTTATGGTGCAATAAAGATGGAGATTTGGAAGGAAAGATTCAGACCAATCCTGTAATATTTTGTTCCCTTCCCATTTGCTTGAAGGCCAGTGCTGTGTGTAAGTAGATATGCTTGCAAACATAATGCGCATGGTGATTGTTCATAAAGCACCTTGACTGCTTTTCATAACAATTAATTTAAAAGGAATAAGCACTGCCATTATTACTATTCCATAGATTCCCCCGCGCCCCCCCCCCCCGTCCTGAACATATTTACTGGTCTCATGGAAATGATTAATTATTTCCACTTATCAAGGGGAGGGACTGTTGGTGTTACAACGCCTTTAACTCTTGAAGAACATTTTCACATTACTACTAGAATCCTGGGTCCACTTGCTTGGGGAACAATGCCCTATGGAAATCACTGACATTTACCTCGGAGTTAATAAGGATATGATCAGACTCCACACTTGTAAGTACGCAGTAGGTCCCACTGAATGGTGTAGAACTTGCAAATCAATATTCTATCTCCTTGTGGAAGTGGGGAAATTACTTGCAAGGGTTGTAATACAATATAGTATAGTGTTCCTTTCTGGTTTTTGCCCAGCAGTTGGTCATCATTCCACAGCTACTACTGACTGTGCTCAGGTCACACTAGGCTGTTTCTGGGTTCCCAGCCTTTCTTTTTTTCTCTTCCTAAAGATTATGAGAACACAACTTGTTGCATTAATGCATTCTATGTTTATTGTTTTTACAACACATGTTCTGGTCTCAGTGGATTCTAAAATGTATCTCATCCTGTCTGCTAGCTTTGAATGGCAAAGCTAGCTACAGAAAGAAGTAAAGTTGACTGTTTTATGCAAACCAGCAGGCAATGACAGTAGGCCAATTTGGAGAGTATTACTCATAGTACTCATCATCTAAGTCCCTCCTTCAGGGTCTCTACAGGAATGGCTCACAGGGTGGCCTTAAGGGAGGTGGCCTTCTGTGTGGTGCCCCCCCCCCCCAATGATGGGATGAACTCCCCATTAAGGCCTGCCCAATACCAGCAGTGTTATCATTTACCAGATTGACCCCTTCCTCTATTGCCAGGAGGTTGACAGCATAGGACAGGTTTTTAATCAGGTCCGGGGGTATTGGTAGGAGGTGTGTATGTGTGTCTGGTCTATTTATGTGCTTGTAGCTAAACTATTTTATTATTATGCATAATACTGTATTTTAAGGGTTTCATCTGTGTAAACTGCCCAAAGAGCTTTGGCTACTGAGTAAGGAAAGGAAATGTTTGGACTCAGTGGATCTGTCCAGAGACCAGTCTGGGCTAGGGTCTTAGACATGATTTCTAACTAATTTCTCAACCTTTGAGTCCTGTTCATGGACATCTATGGTCTTCATTTCATCTTCTGCATCATATGCTTGACATGCCCAGGATTGCTTGTTATATATGAGCTCATTAATGCCATGGAGTGAGTACTACCAGTAAGCTGATTCTCAGTGTGTATATATGAACAATAAATTAACCACCTCCATTTGCTGTAGACTTATGAGTCTGTGCACCATTGGCCAAAATGTGCTTCTGCCAAAGTTAAAAGCTCCCTTGTGCAAATGTATCTCAGATGTGCATCTCCCTACACAAGCATCTAGAGGCAACACACATAAACCACTGAAGGACGTTCATGGCATAAGACAAATGCCATATTTATGTGGTGCTCTGAGAATGTAAACAAATGTTTCCAGCACAGAGAAGGGCTATGATATGTAAACTGAAACATGAGGATTCCACTGACTTGATATCCAAGCCTGATGTACCTTTTGGAAATCTCCACTGTTGGCTGAATTTTCATTGTTAGTACATTTTGCTGTCCTATAAACTCAATGGGGGACCCCACATGCCTGGCCTCTAATACTGCTCTCAAAGCTCCTGATGCACCATTAAAACTACCACAGCATCAGTAAAAAAACCCAGAATTGTAAACACCTATATAGGACTATTGGTGTGGTTATACATCTTAACAATAAATAAATGGAAGCTTGCCACTGTATGTTAATGGCAAACTTCTGTGGAGGTTGAAATGTTAGCATGAACACAAGTCAGATCTATTCCTTCTGACCCTCCGTAGCTGCTTATTACCATTTTTCCCCAGGCTGGTTGCTGTTTGCAGCATAGCAGGAGCACGGCCTACATGAAGCTGTAGGGAGGAGGAGCTGGATTCTCCCAAGGTTGTGCACCCAACAATTAAATGGTGATTGTTGCTGAGGAACAACAGCAGATGACGCCTTTGTTCTCACGTCCTGGTTGTTGGCTTCCTATAGGGCATCAGGCTGGGCACTGTGAGAAGCAGGATGCTGGACTAGATAGGTCTGGGACTGGAGATTACCATGAGGATGGAGGCAAAATTGGGTGGGAGCGGGCATTTTTCTTAGTGCAGGCCAAGCCCTTTTGTGCACCCCAGAGCTCTGCACAAAATCACACTGCTTCTTGCAGCGCTACCCAAGTCCCTTTCTGTGCGCCTCTTCCAGCATGGAGAAAGGCCCAAGGAGCAGGGTGAGGCTATGCCCCCCCTATCATCCAGCAGGAATGTTGCCAGGTGGGGGAAATTTGGCTCCTGCGTCTGAAACTAGATTGGCACCCCTGACCTGTATGAATGCTGCTGTACAGTCCTGCTGACCTAGCTTGGGATGTGGCCTACAAGTGCTTCGCAATGTTTCTTTCCATGGACCATACTCCAACATAGAATTAAGAGGCAGGTATAATGGAAATAATGGGGAAGAAGTAAACATACAGAACATTTCTTCTTGCTTTCAACTGCTGATAACAATAGTATGCATACTTTATAAGCTTAAAAGATACCATGTTATGCATGATTAAATGGAAGAAAGCCCTATCACTCAATTTGCCATGGAGCATATTGGAAGCTGTAGGCCATTTTTCTGTCCAAGCATGCAAACGATGGTCCCCTTAGGGTGCAATCCTGTGGCCTCCTGATATTTTCTGGAGGCCATCGGATTATTTGCAGCTCCACCTCCAAGACCCTGCAATTTCAGAGCTGGAATTCTGAAGGTTAAGCCTCTGCCCTGCCCCTCTTGCATGTGGTATGGAAAGAATCGTGCCAGCTGCCTCTCCTGGTTGCAAGAAAGCACATGCTGGGCTTGGGGAGAGGAGAAGGCTGGGGCAGCCAGCTTACGCCAGTTCCTATCAGTACCCCAGCTTCCTTTCCTCTCCCTCCCCCAGTGCTTAATCTAGATGTCAAAAGGGGTCATGTAGAGAAAAGACATGGTGTGACCAGGCAGAGAAGATTGCCTTGGCTGTGTCTCACTCTTTGCAATGGATCCATTGCATCTAACTGAGCTAAGAGGTTGGTTTAGCAATCCAGGAGCCAGCTTTCAAAGTAGGATCTCTGTACAAAATAATTGTGATGCAAGAAAGGGCCACCTTTATAATGGATAGTTTTGAGGCCTTGCTGTCATCTATTGCTCTTTGCTTACAAAAATGGTGGGTGCTTTTTGTTTTTGTTAAAAAAATTATTAACAGCAGGACTGTTAATATTTAAATGCTATTTTTAATACGTTTATTACAGCATAATTTTGTTGTTTCTCCCAGATATAGAGTTCCCAGATTTAGGGAAAGCTTCCCATCTTAGGAAAAGTTTCGCCTGAGTGCCTGGCTTCTATAAAAGGAACAGGAGTGGGCCAATAAAACAAATTCTGGCAAGGAAGTTGTTCAGGTTCTTTGTCACTTACTTATTATTATCATCATTACTGTTTTACATAACCTACATTGCTATGAGAATACCTTCTCACAGTGCAATGCCTGTGTGATGAAAGTAAAAAGAATTAACTCAGAATTTTCCCTTCACATTGCCCTAACTTAACTCTTAATGACACAGAGGCCTATTCTTCACTTATAAAACGTATGACATGGATCTGATCAGGCTGAGACATGCTGAGTGTTGTAGGCCCTTTTTCTGTCTACACTTCATCAGGATTAGACTCCACAACAGCTAGACTCTCTGCTCCTTTTCCTCTTTCCCACTTTTAATTACAAGAGTGAATCCAACTCTTCAACATATTACTGGTGGACAAGGCAAATATGCACCTTGGTGTATGGATCCATTGAACTTTGCATTTAAGAACAGCCTGTTCAACTGTATTAATCCCATTCCAATTACTGGATTTTGACCTTATGTACATGTATGGCTGGTTGGCCTAAACTTTCTCGTGTTTAGATTTGCCCCATTAATTCTAATGTCAGCCTTGACATCACTGTGTCTGGATATGGTGTGAATATTGGTGACTCAGGGTAGGCCTACCTCAGAGACCTAAGGCCCTTCAGCAGAATGAGCAGGGAGCCTTCTAAACGCAGCAGGGGGCAGCTTGCCACATTTCCAGGCAAGTGAAGAAATAGCCATTGCCTTATAACCCCCCATAAAGCCATTTGAAGTGCAGTAATACATATAATCTTCTAAAGAAGGAGGGCCTCATAAAATCATTAAGCTTAGAACCCTAAACTCATTTAACTTGTAGCCTTGGATTCAGCCTATTATTTCTTATTGTTGCTGCTGTTGTTATTATATAAATGAGAGACGAAAAATTGCACAGGACCGAATCGCAGGGTAGGAGGAAGAGGAACAAAGGGAGCTGGCAGATGGGAAGCACAGCAGCCGGCGGCGGCAGCCTCGTATTTCCGGCAGCGAAGGGGGACTGGGGAGCCAGGGGGAAGCGCGTTTCCGGGCACGGATCGGTAGGGGGCGGCCTTGTGCACGCTGAGGCCTCCGTCTGTGTGTGTGTGTGTGCGCGCGGTGTATGTGGGCGCGGGAGGGGGTGATGTCAGTGCTAGCTGGGTTTATGCATCCAGTACTTCCTGTATCGAAGCAGGCTTGGCTAAATACCAGCAAGCTTTTCTCCTCCTGACCTAGCAAGCAGCAGCGGGAGAGCAGGAGGGTTGCCAGCTGCAGCAGGTCTGGCGTCTCCTCTTTTTTAAAGCGGCTTGACATCTCCAGGCAGCAGAGCTGCATGTGTGTTAGCAAAGCCCGAGGGATAGAATGGCAGTCCTCAAACTCACCGACCAGGTAAAAAGAGACAAGCGACAATAGAATCGGAGCGGGAACCAAACGCGCACAAGGCGAAGCTGTCGCGTGTAAGGCTGTTGGGAGGATTTCGGGAGCGCTGCTGATCGCTGTTGTTTTGAGCCGGGAGAGGGCGGAAAAAAAAAGTCCTAGGAGTGTTTTGTGGTTCACGGCAGTCCTCCTCCGTCTCCGCTAGGATCGGAGCTTTGCAAGCTCTCTCCCGAGCCCTCTTGCTTCGCTCTCGGGCGATCGCTGTTCGGTTGCTTGGGGGCAGTTTGGAAGACCCCGTCCTTGCCGTTCGCAGTGGGTATGCTTCTTCGCCCTGAGGCAGATCTAAACAGAGGGACGGGGGCGCGGGGTTAGGTATACGGCTATTTCCCCCCCGGCAGCTAATCACCGTTCGCATGATTGCCTACTGGCCGGTCAAGTTTCTCATTGTCTGGGAAATCATGCAGTTGTCAAAATACCAAACGGAGGGAGAAAGGGGGAGTGCGGGGGTGGGTGGGTTATCTCATCATGGCAGTGCTTTGTGTTCGTGGTTTTAAAATATACGACTCACAGACACGAACGCCTCTGGTTACTGGATCACTCACCTAGAGGAACCGGTAGGCGATTTGTCGTGGCAGTATTTTTTACTCTGGACCCGAGATTCCGCCACATTTTCGACCTGCCAGCGCTCTTGCCCCCTCTCCCTGCCAACATCAGAGAATCGATGGTGATGGTGGTTAAAGGGAAGAAGGGAATTTAATCTCGTAAAAGATTTTAAGCGCGTGCATAACCCAGCAGACGAGGAAATAGATGGATGGGAGATTTTAATTAACGCTCTTAGTTGTAGCGCCCCATCAATGCAGACTAGCTTTCACCCAAGGTTTTAATTCTCCTTTATTGTCCCCCGCCTCCTATCCCCCCCCCCGAAAACATGACACTGTACAGCCGGCTGCATTCACGGCTGTTAATTGGCTGTTCAATCAGGCCGGTCCCCAGTTGCTTTAGAATTCTCAAATATTTATGCAGCTTTTTAAGAAGCGAGAATTCGAGGGGGGGCGGCTTCTCATAGGCTGCCTCTTTAGCCAATCCACGGGACGGTTCGATCCGCTTAAGGCAAGGCTGGGCTTTCCGCGCGCCCGAGCACCTTTGCCCGGCATTCTTGCGGGGCGGCGCGTCCCGTCCTAAGATGCGCGCGTTCACTTAGAAGCGAACCGGCACGGTGTCATTTCGTCGATTATTTCTGCTCTCGTTTTCTGTTTGTTGACAGGAGTAGTGGGGAGCGCTTCGTTCCCCAGATGTTGCCGAAGTGCAGCTCCCATCAGTCTTAGCCCGAATTGTGATGAAGAATGATAGGACTTGCAGTCCAATGACATCTCTATTTTAAAGCAGAGTTGTCAGAGAAAGAAGGATCGAAGGCCATCCTAGTTTTGATGTGAAGGGATTTGTGCTTTCTTAATCAGTGTCTAGCAACTGGGGCCATTTATTTGTCTATCCCAGTGTGTGGTGTGTAGAAGCAGTTGAGTTTGGCATTGATTTAGATGCTCTTGATACTAATTGCTTGGCCTGAAATGTAGGATGGAGAAGATGCCTTCCCTGAATGAGCTACAAAGTAATTATGGCTAAATGAATAGTGGTGGTCACAGGTTTCAATATTATGATGCTAGCTTGAAGTAAAATTGTTTGTAATTGTGTATAACTTTGCTATTACATATGGAATATATATCCTGTTAGAGATATAGAGTAGTAGGATGAATATTGCAAATGCATGAGAGGTAGTGTGTCCTTTAAATATTTGTGGTATTTTAACTGCTACTCTTCTGCAGGCAAACATTATTAGTTTTCCTAGGTATTTTTGCATGTTTGAACACTTTAAAGAGCACATTGGATTTTATTGGTGAACTGTTCACTTGGTATAAAAAAAGTGTTTATATATGAATAATTTTTCTTGATTGCAATTGTACTTAAAGAACACAGCTCACCTTTTTCTTCTTAAGGGTGCACATTTGCCTGAAAATAAGTCTCATTCAATAAAATGGGCCTTATTTCTCAGTAAATGTATATGGGATTACAGTTAAAAACTCTTACTGTTAATGTCACATTAAAAAGTGACATTATGGTTTTAAAGGTGGAAAAATTTATCTTCAGATTGTACAAGAGTCTTTGCTTGCTTGGTTTAATCTGCTAATTTTGGTTTAACATGATCTGTTGATGACCTGTAGCTCTAGAATCATTCTACATCCTCCAGTATTTCATGATATTTTTCCAAGATTATAGCAAGGAGGATTAATTTTTGCAATTACAGTACATCTTATTTGACAACTTATTTCCCTTTTTAAAAAATGGTGCCCATTGAGATTCTCTGTTTAGCTTGCTTCTAAAATGCTTGGAAAATGTGAATTAGAAGAGTGTTATCCCATAAAATAAAGATATGAGATAACAAATTGTACACATTGTACCTTTGAAAGTATTGAAGGTACAGTGTGTTGTCTTATAGCAACCTTAGATGTATTGTCATTATTTGTGCAAGAAAACTGTGTCGTTATAAGCTCAGTCTTTGGCATACCCCTTGATACAGTCGTGTTTTCATATTTGATGTTTCTAGCTAATGGCAAAATTGTTTCACACCAGGTGGCTTTCTCTCCACGCTATAGGGTAGTGCAGAGTCTCATAAATCAGAACAGCTAGGTAGGCTTCATAAATTGAACATCCTGGTGGCAGGTAATATTGGAGGCATCTCTACTATTCCTGATAAAATGTGGCATTTCAGTGCTTAAAGTCTTTGCCTGAAATCAAGTCTTTTCATGTAATTCTCCTGAGAAATGCAGTTCTAAAACTTCACTAGATCTCTATGGGGGGGGGGGGGGGGAGGAAAGAAGTTAAATTTGCTTTAAACTCACCTAGTGATAGAAATAAACTCCAAGAGCCTCCCATTATCTTATGAGATCTGTGTTGTAGGGCAAACCCTGTGTTAACTCTCCCACCAGCTGACCTTGTCTGTTTGGATTCTTCCCATTTTCATCATGCCAGAAACTGATGTTTCCAGGGGCAGCCAGGAGAAAAGACACTGACTAGATGAGCAGTGAGCAAGACAATTTTGGAGGAAGAAGTGGAATGTAATGATGGCGGAACCAGGGGCAGCAGACCCAGGGGAATAGCACCCTTGGCAACAAGGATCTTTGGCATGTCCCCTCCTCCATCATCAGCTTAGAGTTTCTTATATTGTTATCTACAGCCTATAGAGCAGTGGTTCTCAATGTACACCACGTGGTCCCTCCTGAAGGCCATGTCCTATTTCTAGGGGACCACAATAAGTTTTAAAGGGGCCACCCACACGTAACTGCCAGATGTTTGATCAGTTTGTCAAAATCCTCGCATCTCATTCTCTGTGCAAATTTAAGGGCATACATATTGAAAATTACTCCAGTTTACAGTACATATCTTAATGGAAAAGGCGGTCCATAATAAATGAAATGTTATATTCATTAGAAACCAACCGTATGATACGGTTTAACTTGATAAACAGTGCAGATGGGAAAGTTCCGAAATGAGGCTCCAAAGGGAGCTGCAAGAAAAGAGCTATGTTGCCTTGAGTCAAAGCCCTGTTCTGCTGATTTTTGTCTAGAACACACAGCATTATATTCAAAATTGAAAAAATAATATACTCTAAAGCTAATTGATAGAATTTAATTTTTAATAGTTACTAGTCAAGAAACCTTTCTGGAGAAAAGGCTAAAGAAGCTTGTGCTTTTTTGTTTTCCTGTCTTAACTGGAAGATGGTTCATTCAACAAACACAAGATATAGTCATGGCTACCACTTTGGACAGCTTTTAAAGAAGGATGGACAAATTTATGGAGGAGAAGGCTATCAATGGCTGCTAGTCCTCATGATCATATGCTGCTTCCAATATGCCTATGAACACTAGCTGCTGGGTAACTTGGGCAGGGGGTGGTGTTATGTTTATGTCCTGTTTGGTTGGCCACCATATGAACAGAATGCTAGTCTGATCTGGCATGGCTCCTCTTACAAATCGTCAAGCTCTGTTTGGGTCCCCTTCAGTTTGGTGCCCTGGACAAGTGTCCATCCGGAAGGGTAGCCCTGGGAAGAACAGGCTGAATTTCAGGCCTCTTAGAGAGCCAGTATGGCTGGCTCAGTCTCCATATTGACCCCTTTTAGATGTTAATAGCCACAAAGAAGTTCCAGAGGCCCTGGCACAGTTCCATAACATTGACTTTGATGCTATTGCTTATATCATAGATGCTCATATGCGCGACTAGATTTTTTTTCCCATTGGCATGTTGGCATTGAAGGATGCCTGCCCTGTAGCAGCACCTTCCACAGCTGCAATCAGCAAGTGCCTTCAGGTCTGCCTGTTTGCACCACATAACAGAGGCAGACTTGTTGCTTGTTTAGTTCACCTTCTTTAATCTTTCTGGTATGATCAACCAACCATCCCTAGGCTTACAAACTTTTCATTTCACCATTGCTCATCTTGCTGGATGAGGATGGGGACAGGGTCAAGGCAGAGCCAGGCTCTGAGTGGTGCTGCCTGTAGAAAGATTAAGGGCATGATCCTATACCTTTTCAGAAAGAAAAATGTCCTACCGCTCTCAGTGTACCAAAGCCAGAATTGTGACTTAAGGCTCCATGACATAGCCAGAGAAAGCCACATGGGATTCAGATACATGCATATGGACACACAAGTATATACATGCAGCAAAGGAGCAGTCTTGGTTCATATCGGTTGTTTCTCTCTGTAGATGTTGACATTCATGTCTGGCAACCAAATGTGTGAGTGATTTCCACTGGGGCAATCTCGTTGCGTTTTTTTTTTCCTTGAAGGCATACTCCATGTTGGCTGGGGAAAGTTGTATGACTTGTTCTTTCTAAGCATACATAGGTTTGCAGCCTAATACTATTAGAAAAAATAAAACCGGTAGATGCTGGATCCCATCTTCGAAAAGCCATTTTTGCTTCCAAGAAGCAATGGCTCTTCTGAGGTGGTGTGCAAACCATC